CAGCCATTCCTATGCATGGGTACAGCTATAGAGGGAACCACCCGGCTGATGGAGAAGAGGAGGAGAGGTAGAATGAACGAGCGTCCACTGCACCTTCAACTAGAGAAACAGAGTGAGGTGCAGAGAAGATCCGAGAGAGTTCAGTGCTGGACAGGCAGAACTGGTGAGCACACAGCCGCCAGGTGTCCTGACTGGGCCCCATTTTGTGGGCCAATTGCTGAGAAACTTTGTCCTGTAGAATGATGCACTGTTGGAACCTTGCCACTTGACATTTAATCAGTAAAAATGAAGCCTTCCTCTTTGGTCAGGCAATCGAAGTCACTTTGACACAAAGAAGTGATCCTGATTTCCAACCTGGGTTCAGAGCTTCGGATGAAGGGCTTCTCAACGCAGTATCCCGTGTTTGTCTTAAATCTGCACTTCCTATGGAAATGAGTCTGGCTGTAGTTTCTGGTTGGGGACACATGCTAACTCCTTTATAGACAGTCCTACTTTGCTTTGCGCCTATCAAAACACACCTAGATTTAAATTTTACCTACAATTCTTTCCCTCGTTGGTGAGACACCCTACAGCTTGCCTGTTGTGTGGTCTCTCTTGATGCATCAAGCCTGTAAATCCAACCTGGTCAAGCTTCGCGCTTGCTCCTGGTGACCGAAGGCTGCCTGAGCTAGAACACGGGTCATGGGGAGACAGAGATGCTTTCTGCTATTCCCTGTGACTTACATTCCCATAACATTGCCAAGGTTTTAAACACCCCGTGATAACAGGATTCATGACAGCATGTGAGATCTGTGCAAGGGAGAATTAGAGCCACTCCCCAACAAGATGTCACCCTAATCCCAGGGACCAGTGAATATATTACTACCTTCTACAGCAAATAACAGAGCAAGGGCCAAAGATCGTGAGGCAGGGAGGCTGCTGGACCACCCTGTTAGGCCCAGTGTAATGACACGAGGCCTTTAAAGCAGGGCTTTTGCTGGCTGTGGTCAGAGGCGCAACATTACTACCCTGTTGCGATGAGACCACGCGTCAGATGAAGGCAGGAGCCATAAGCCACGCGATGTGGGCAGCCTCCAGACCCTCCAGGAAGGAGGCAGCCTGCGGATGGCTTGATTTTAGCTTGAGGTCAGAGTTCTTCCCTACAGAGCTGTCAGGTGAAAATCTGTGCTGCTTTAAGCCACCACATTTGCAGCAATTTGATATGGCAGCAGTGGAAAATGACATCACCTACTGGGAGTGAATAAAAAGGGGAGAAAAGAGGCCAGCCCAGGAGACAGAAAGCGCTGCACAGGCAGTGGGGAGCCAGAAGACAGCGGAAGGAAGCCGTTCCAAGGAGAAAGTGGATTCCAGAGCATTTACCTGCATACTGTTTAAAGTGAGGGCTGAAGGAATTTAGCATCTCCAAGTTTTAAGGTGCCTATTATTTCCTTGCAACATTTTACCTGTGATTCAAGCATCTGCATGAAACAGAAGCCTCTTTCACTTGAAACCATCACATTCTCTCTCGTGATAAAGGTCTGAGAGTTTGAAAACTTTCAATCCACATTAGAAACAGCATCAAGGTACAACTGAGGATCCAGCCCATCCCAGGCTGACAACAAGTGTTACTTTTTATGTGGTCATCCAAGATGTCTGACTTTGCCAACAGTGGGACCAGCCACGTGGGTGGGGCTGACAGCCCAGGGTAGGCATCATTGTATGCAATGTCCTTAGCAGACTGTCAGTCCCGGTGGTCTTCCACTCCCCAGGGTCCCCTCTAATCACCATGCCCAAAGATTTCAGCCTGCCTTCCTGCAGCCCTAGTACCACTGCTGTCTGAATGAGCACTAAGCTGGAGCTGGGGATGGAACACATGCGCTGATACGGAATACAGCTGTCTAAGCTGCTGACTTAATTGCTGGGCTCAATGTCCACCTGAAGAATCTAGTCTAAATTATAAACTTACTACCTCACCTGGATTTTTTTTTTTTTTTAATTTTTATTTTGACAGAGTCGGACAGTGAGAGAGAGAGAGAGAGAGAGAGAGGGAGAAAGGTCCTCCTTCTGCAGGTTCACCCCCCAAATGGCTGCTATGGCCGGTGCTGCACCAATCCGAAGCCAGGAGCCAGACACTTCTTCCTGGTCTCCCATGGGGTGTAGGGCCCAAGCACTTGGGCCATCCTCCACTGCACTCCTGGGCCACAGCAGAGAGCCGGACTGGAAGAGGAGCAACCGGGACTAGAACCCGGCACCCATATGGGATGCCGGTGCCGCAGGGAGAGGATCAACCAAGTGAGCCACGGCGCCGGTCTCCTCACCTGGCTTTTGACAACCTTGGCTTAATGCCCATTCTCACAGGAGGGATATGGCACAGGACTTTTTTTTCTCTGCCAAAACATTCTCCCCATTCTTCAGAATTCAGAACAGTTGTCACTTTCTTGGGGAGGGTATGTCCCAGCTAAGGCTGGCTCCTTCCTAACAGACCCTCAGGGAACACTTGTAGCTCTCTGTCATGCTGAACACACCTGCAACTTCTTGTTGGGTATCTATCACCTTCTCTGTCAGAATGCAAATTCTGTGAGAAAACAAGGGCTCCCTTCTGCCATGTTCACATTCATCTCCTTGGTACCTCCAATCTAACAGACAGTCGTACATATTAGCTGAATACAGAAATGAAGAGTGAGGGCCTGGTGTTCTAGTTCCAGGTCTACTGGTGACTTCTGCATCAGTGTTCCCGGAAATGTAAATGGGCGCTTTGAAGGGAAATGACTAAAACCGAGTTTCCCAAATGTACTGCTAAACACCCTGTACTCATCTCTGGTCTTGTCCAAAGTATGAAGCAGCAACCAAAAACAAGAACAAGTGGGACAGGTTTTCAACAAGGGGAATTCCATAGGGGAAAGAACAACCGTAGAAACAAATACATATTCATACCCTAAAGAATTAGGTTGAATCTCTTACATCACACACACAAAAAACTTCAAAATGGAACAGGGACCTGAATCCAGAAGCTTTAACCCAACTGCAAAAATGGCAGTAACAGCTGTTTAGCCTAGCCATGAAGATGCTCATGTCTCACATTAGAGTGTCTGGATTCAATGTTGAGCTCTGGTTCCTGACTCGTTTCCTGCCAACACGGACCCTGGGAGGCAGTGGCAATGGCTAAAATAATTGGGCTCTACCACTCATGTGGGAGCCCTGCATGGAGTTCCTGGCTCCTGATTTCAGCTTGGCCCAACCCCTGGGCTCCTGTGGCCATCTGGGGACTGAACCAGCAGATGGAAGATCTCTCTTGGTAAATGCCTTTCAAATCAATCAATCAAAAAAAGAAAAAAAAAGTTAGGATACTGACATATGCTACAACCCTGAGGAATGTTGAAAACATTATGCTTAGAAACCAGTCGCAAAAGACCACATATTATGAGATTCTATTTATATGAAGTGTCCAGAATACGCACATCTAAAGAGACAAAAAGTAGACTTAGGTTACTTAGGGCTAGAGTGGGGTAGGGAGGAAGCTTTGGGGAAAATGGGGTGAGTTTTCTTTTGGGGGTGACAAAAATATTCTGGAATTGTGTTGTTTGTACAACCCTATGACTACATTCAAAACCACTGACTATGCACACTTTATAAGGGTAAACTGTATGATGTGTGAACTATGTGTCAGTAAAGTTATTAAACATTTCTGAAATAACTGTAATTTAAAATAAATTACTTATCTCGGGGTGGGCACTGTGGCTCAGCTGCTTGGGATGCCCACATCTCACATCAGAGAGTCTGTTTGAGTTTTGCCTCAGTTTCTTTTCTTTTCTTTTTTTTTTTTTTTTTGACAGGCAGAGTGGACAGTGAGAGAGAGAGAGAAAGGTCTTCCTTTTGCCGTTGGTTCACCTTCCAATGGCCGCCGCGGCTGGCACGCTGCGGCCAGTGCATCACGCTGATCTGAAGCCAGGAGCCAGGTGCCTCTCCTAGTCTCCCATGGGGTGCAGGGCCCAAGGACTTGGGCCATTCTCCACTGCACTCCCGGGCCACAGCAGAGAGCTGGCCTGGAAGAGGGGCAACCGGGACAGAATCCGGTGTGCCGGTGCCGCAAAGCGGAGGATTAGCCTAGTGAGCCACGGCGCCGGCCTTTGCCTCAGCTTCAATCCAGCTTCCTGCTAATGTGCCTGGGAGGCAGCACATGATGACCCAATTATTGGCAGTCCTGCCATTCAGTGGGAGCCCAATATGGAGTTTCTGGCTCCTGGCTTCAGCCTGGCCCAGCCCAGGCTGCTGTGGGCATTTAGGGAATGAAACAGCAGATGGGAGATCTGTCACTCTGCCTTTTAAAACAAACAAAACCCAAAACAAACCAGTCTCATACTCATTTTCCCAAAGCACAGGTTCGTGTCTCCTGGGACACTACGTCCTGTGCCCACGCGTCTTCCTGTGTACCTGCAGAGCTGTCAAGGGCTCCATGCAGGAGCTCTGCTCCTTGTCAATCATGGGCCGCCAGGCTTCTCGCAGTGGAACACTACAGTCTAGAGCCATGTATTTCCCCCTTAACAATACACTGTCCTCGAAGCTTGAAAAGAAGCACACACCCAGAAATTCACTCCAGTAAGGGCATCTGAAACTCACTAGGTAGGGTCCTTAGAGTAAGCCCCCATGTCAGGGTGGCCACCTCCAAGGATTAGACGCTGCACTCCCTTCAGCTCTAGGACAGAGCACTGAAACCCCACTCTCCTGTCTCAGACCGAGAGTGGCAGATGGGAAGAGATACAGCTTCCTGGAGTCTGGGCTGTACTCCCTAGACTTGGCGGCTCCCGCTGGAAGACCCACCCACTCTTGAGCCACCCTGTTTCCTTTCTTCTCCCACGGCAGGCGTGGCTGGGGGCAGATCCTGCCCTGGCATGTCTGGGGAATAAGTGAACACACAGGATAGGCTGCTTAGTGAAGGAGCCAAGAAGGCCCAAGACTCTCCTCAGGCGAAACTGCTAGTCCTAGTGCAGAATTCAGACTCGTGCTGGAATGAACCAACCGCATTAGGAAAACAGGGAAAACAAACTTTATTGTCAAAGTCCTTGAGATATAAAAGAAGACAACGTTACAGTGAAAGGCAGCAGAGGCCGTTCCGAGTGCTGGGGGTAAAAGGGGCTGGGGATGGGAAGGTAGGTGGAAGACTCAACATTTTTCTAGCTTCAGAAAATTAAAGTGCCCAGATCACAGCTGCAACATCTTGGCTTTGGTTACAGATTCCTTATAAAGCTGTTTACCTGTGGGAAACAGAAAAAAACAAAAGTTAAATTCCACATTTTTAGCAACAGTCCACTCATAATGCACACACAGCCAAGCCCACGAAGTTTTCATAAGGAAAATAGGCATGAAGAAATGTGGGAGCTGTTCAGGGCACACAGCCCTCAAGCAGCAGAGCTGGGAAGAGAATCCAGAAGTCTCATCTCCCTAGTTTTAGAATACCTTACAGGACAAAGTCCGCTGGAAAGCACACATTGGAAGTCAATTATTTGACAATCACAAACCCAACATACAGCAGAGACTAGGGATAATATTTCTAACTTAACTTGCACAAGATCCTGTAAGCTTTGAACTGTGAAATGTAGCTTACGATGCAAAGCACAAGACCCTGTATATATATGTGTGTGTGTGTGTGTGTGTGTGTGTGTATTTAGGATGTACTTATTTGAAAAGGAGAGAGGGGGGGAGAGAGAGAGAAGAGACGGATCTTTCATCCTCTGGTTCACTTCAAGGCCTGCAACATCTAGTGTTCAGCCAGGAGAAAGTCAGGAGCCAGGAGCAGCATCCAGGTCCCCCATGTGGGTATTAGGGATTCAATCACTTGGGCTATCATCCATTCATTTCCCGGGAATTGGATTGGAGGCAGAGCAGCCAGGACTCGAACCAGCACTCCAATATGGGATGCTGGTGTAGCAGATGGCAGCTTAAACTGCTGTACAACAATGCCAGCCCCAAGATCCAACATATATTTTTTTTAAATGTCCCATTATCTGTTTGTTTTTTTTTTTTTTTTTTTTTTTAATTTGGAAGTTAGAGTTACACAGAGAGAAGGCGAGGCAGAGGCGGGGGGGGGGGGGGAGGTGTCTTCCATCTGCTGGTTCACTCCCCAGTTGGCCACAATGGCCGGAGCTGAGCTGATTTGAAGCCAGGAGCCAGGAGCCTCTTCTGGGTCTCCCATGTGGGTGCAGGGGCCCAAGCACTTGGGCCATCCTCTACTGCTTTCCCAGGCCATAGTAAAGAGCTGGATCAGAAGTGAAGCAGCCAGGTTATGAACCGGTGTCCATATGGGATGTTGGCACTGTAGGCGGCAACTTTACCTGATATGCCACAGTGCCAGCCCCAAGATGCAACATATTGAACTCTGCCAGAGCTACACCAGTCTGAAGCCAGGAGCCAGGTGCTTCTCCCTGGTCTCCCATGCGGGTGCAGGGGCCCAAGGACTTGGGCCATCTTCTACTGCATTCCCAGGCCACAGCAGAGAGCTGGATTGGAAGAGGGGCCACCGGGACTAGAAACGGCACCCATATGGGATGCCGGCACTGCACGCAGAGGATTAACCTACTGTGCCATGGTGCTGGGCCCCCAACATATTGAACTTTAAAGGAAAAACCAGATAGAAGCATAACAAAAGAAAACCATGAAAGCGGGAGTTAAGGTCCTTCCCACCTTTCTCATGAGTTCTTCTTGCTTGGTCACGTCTTCAGAAAAATCATCATTGACATCCAACACCAGCACTGGAATGTTCAGCAGAGCCTCAAAGTGGAGCCTGAAGAAGATGAATATTTGGGGCACAGAAAAGAAACATAAGCCACGCTTCACATGCTCACAAAGGCTTCAGAATTCAGAAAACAGATTTAAATTCACATGACCTCCTAATGAAACTGCATCTATATAGCATCTACAAAAAAGAACTCAATAAAGTCGGCTGGAAGGAGGAAGGCTGAGATTTCTCTTTTGCCTTCAAACTGTTACTGAAGGTGAAGCTCTCAACACTTTAAGTGGACAAGGCAGAAATGAGGGATGACAACTTAGTACAACTGACAATTCCCCTAATAATTTTCAGCCATTCACCCTAAACCAACTGATACCATCACCAATCACAATGGTCAATCCACAGAAACATTTTTAAAAAGAGAAAAGACAAAGCTGGAGAAACAGAATCTAATAAAAAGCCCACTGGAATGTACAGATTATATTCAAGATTAGATTTCTGAGCTGGAAGATGCTTGACATTTCCAACCACTTCCAGTACATTCTTAACTTTCGCAGAGGCTGCGCAATGAACTTCTTGCATTTAACAGAGGGCTGTCCAGAGACAAGGTCTCTGACACTGTTTTCCTCCACTTACTCGGTCGTCTTTTGAGTAAGCCAGGCTTCGTGTTGACTGTGAAGCTGCTCCAGGTAGGCCAGTTCAATTCCTTTCTCTTCCTCTCTGGCCCTTCGGCACAGTCTCTCCAAACAAACCTGAAACATAGTCCCCAGGTCCCACTGAGTTTATGTGCTGTTTGGGCTGCTAATTATGCAATTTTAGGGGGCTCTGAGAGCCTCTCACAATGTCTATCTTGGGTACTGCCAGTCAGGACTTTGCTTCTGCTGCTCTGTTTCCCTGTTCAGTCAGAGGTCTACACCATTATCTCCACCTCTACCGTGAACCTGCTCTTCTTCTGCAGCACCCTAGGGTGATTAATGGCAACACCATCACCAGTCATCCAAACCAGGAACCTGGGATTGCCTTCTTTTTCCTCCACTCAGCTACATCCAGGAAATCACTCAATTCTCCCGAACCTCTGCCCAGCTGGCTCTCTCCTTGCCTTCTCATGTGCCCTGGTAAGGTCCTCATCACCCCTCATCTGGACTATGGCAAAAGCCCCTGATGCTCTGCCTCCCTGTGGAGGAACTACATGGAAGGGGCACAGGTCTCACAGAAAGTTCAGGAATCAATTCTTGTCTTCATCATGTACTAGCAGTGCAATCTCTGTGGGTTTCCACATTCCCATCTTTCACCTATCCCACAGGCTGCTGGCAGGAGCCATTGAGGGAAGGTGTGTCAACCTCCTGGTAAAAGCTGATTCTCTAGTTTGTCTCTTTCAGTCTACCCTTCCACAGTAGTGCACCATAATGGCATCAATTCCCTTGATTAAAATATAACACAAGCTCCCTACTGCCTACAGCCACAACTAGGGTTCCAAGAAGTATGGATAGCGCTGTACTAATAAAATGATGAAGGGGCCCATGTTATGGCACAGGTTAAGCTGTGGCTTACCATGCAGGTATCTGATATCTGAGCACTAGTTCTAGCCCCAGCTGCTCTACTTCCAATCCAGCCTCCTGTTAAAGTGCCTGGGAAAGCAGTAGGTGATAGTCCAAGTACTTGGGTCCCTGATAACCACGTGGGAGACCAGGATGGACTTCCTGGCTCCTGGCTTGGTCTGGCCCAGACCTGGCCATTGTGGCCATTTGGGGAGTGAACCAGTAGATAGAATACTCCCTGCCCCTCCACCCCTATCTTTCAAATAAATTTAAAAAAGAAAAGGTTAAGGAATCTGAAACATCTTTCATATCATTCTAAATATTCACTATGGAGTCAATATAAAATCTACATAGGTCAAAGATCAAATAAAGGATTAAAAACAAGAGAGACCTGAGACGCTTCTCCCCCCCACCCCCTTCACAGAGAGTGCACAATTCCATTGTGTGTTCACCTGGCAGACTCTGAAGCACACCGGCCCATAGGATGGTGTCTTCTCCATTACTTCTCATACAAGGCCACTCACCTACCTCTCTGCTGCCCAGAATCACTGCTTCAGCCAAATGACCTCCTTCTAATAGGCCAAGCTCCTTCACATCTTCAGTTTTTGCTCCAAATGTTTCTTTTGCCTGAACTGCCCTGTTCCTCCCTCTATCTGGCAAACATTTCAATACCACCTATCCTGGAAGAACAGATGGATTAACCCACTTATTTAGGATGCTCCTCATTCAAATACTTAATGCAAACTTTATCCCCAAATGTAGTGTGTGTGTATATATATGTGTGTGTGTGTGTGTGTGTGTGTGTGTATAAAATATTCCCAAAGACTTGAGGTCCTTGCTGTTTTGCTCTTGTCTTACCTTTCCTCTGAAGAAGTAAAATCATATAAACAGATTTCATGTCCAACTTTCCAAACTGATGAGCAGACAAACATCACCAGGTCAATACTTCTGGTACTTTTCTCATATTTCCCTTTCACTTAATTAATAATTCTCCCAAACTATCTAAGTTTAGCTAAAAGTCCCTGTCCAGCTAAGCAGGTGGTCAATAATACCAGCTGCACAATTCATTTAACAGTTGTGATTTCTGACCTCAGTTCTCCATCTCCTATTTCCCTTCATTCTGAACCAGCATCCTTTTCTTTCCTTCCTCCCTCTATCCCTGTATCTGCACCCTCACTGCTGATGGCTTCAAGCCCCCTCCCTCTTGTCCCCCTCTCTCTAATCACACAGCTTTTCTAACACATCCCTGATTACCAGCCACTCAGTTCATCTCCCACCCACAACCAGCTAATTTCTTGTATATTTTAAGAAATATTCTAAGCCTATATATATATATATTTTTTTTTTGACAGGCAGAGTGGACAGTGAGAGAGAGAGACAGAGAGAAAGGTCTTCCTTTACCGTTGGTTCACCTTCTAATGGCCGCCGTGGCCAGTGCGCTGCGGCCGGCACACCACACCGATCCAAAGCCAGGAGCCAGGTGCCTCTCCTGGTCTCCCATGGGGTGCAGGGCCCAAGCACTTGGGCCATCCTCCACTGCACTCCCGGGCCACAGCAGAGAGCTGGCCTGGAAGAGGGGCAACCGGGACAGAATCTGGCGCCCCGACCGGGACTAGAACCTGATGTGCCGGCGCCACAGGCGGAGCATTAGCCTATTGAGCTGCGGCGCCGGCCCCTATATATTCTTACCCTTTACTTTTTGGGGGTATGTGTATGTACATATGTCAATGTCCCACCAAATACTCTGGTTTTCTTGTTTTTTTCACCTAACAGTATGTCCTGGAGATCGTTGCACAATCAGTACAGAAGGAACCTTTTTTCTTTTTTTTATGGCTTCAGAATTTTCTAGTATATGGGCAGAGCCCAATACATGCAACCAGTTCCTACTGATGAATGCCTGGCTGCTTCTAGTAACCGTTGCTGTTACCAACAAGAGGCCATGCTGACCATGTGTGAACACATCTGTGGAATGAGTTCCAAGGAGCGGGTCTAACAGGTCAAAAGGCAAGCATCCTTGCCACTGTACATTGCCAAACTGCCTCCTTAGAGTGTATACAAATTCATATTCTCACTAGCTAGGTAACTATATTTCTAAATATAACACGGCTACTTAATTTTTTTGAGAAAAGTATTGTCTGAATTAGTAAAAACAATTTTTAAAGTGGCTTTATATTTTCAAATCCCCACAAAGGCAGAGCAATTCTTTTTACCAAAGCTATTTGTAATTGTTCATTCGTTGCTTGCACTCAAACCATCAATGCTCACATTGATCTCCAGAGAGAATAGGCAAATCCTCCTCTAGGAGTCTAAGTAAACTCTTCTGAGCACCTGGCATCGTTGTTGCTTTACTGATACTGTTACACCAAATTCTTTTGGAAATACCCCTCTCCATCTCAGCAAAGCCCTCCCTGCAAAGACATACCTGAATGTGAACAGTGACACTATAAATGTCAAGGGAGGGACTCTTTCTCTGATCTTAATGTGCCCCAGCCAGGAGGAAGAACTACTGTTCTGACTGCTTAGATTCAGACACAGGAAGTGGACTGCCCCTGTTACTGGGTCAGATCCTGTGCCTCCCAAGACCCAATCCCAAATGCCATTTGTTATCATCATGCATTTCCTGAACACTGTTTCCACACCGACAGTCCCAGGCACACTAAGGGGCTGAGGGAGTGAGAACACTGAGCCTCCCCCATCTCCTGATTTTCTAAAAAAATTAATTAGAGAATTAATTTGAAATACAGAAAAACAAAGAGAGACAAATAGATCTACCACCTGCTGGCTTCCTCATCAAATGACTGCAACAGCCAAGCTGGGCCAGGACAAAGCCAGGGGCTGGGAACTCAATTTAGTTCTCTAGTATGGGTGGCAGAGACTACTACTTGAGCCATCACCTGCTAGGACACACATTAGCAAGACGCTGGAATCAGAAGCAGAGCTGGGACTGGAACCCAGTCAATTCAAAATGGGATGCAGGTGTCCCAAACAGCAGGCCAAATGCCTGTTCCTGTTCAGAATTTGGGGAGAACAGGTAGAAAGGAACAGAAAGACCTACTGAAGTCCATCTCACCTGCTCTAAACTCAGTATGTAGCAAGAGTCTATACTGAAGCACTGGCTATTTGCATAGCTTTTAACTTCCGTTCTGCTGTTCTCTTGGGTATAGCCACCTCTGAATCTCACAGCAGAGGTCAGGGGTGACTCAGGGAAAGATGGGGGCATTCCAAAGCCTCTACCCTTATCGCCATCAAAACAGCACTAAAACCCCTCATCTCACCCCTAATGCCTGATTCTTTTCAGCCATTAGGTTACAATAATTCTCCAGCTCCCCCACTTGACTGAAATACTTCGATTAGTTCCACGATGATAATCATCAGCACCAGAATCATCTCCCTGGACCCCTTCTCACAAGGAGCACAGAGAAGAGCAAGGGAGACTTTCCTGCTTTGCTTGTGGGCCCCAGAACCCAGTCCAACCTCCACTCCCCAGAAACAAGAGCCCTGGGTCACTCCCAGGGAGGGTGAGCCCACTTCCTCCTCTGCAGCTCCTCAGTATCATCTTCACGGCTTCGAGCTGACTGTGCTGAAGGTCTGTTTCTCTTGGAAAGTTTGGTCAGCATTCTCACTTCCCTAATGCTCGGCCCCTCAACCACCTGCTTTTTTTCAGTTCAGCCATCCTGCAGCTCCCACAGGAGAACTGTTTTTTCTTCAAATTCCAACCAAAATCGTTACTAAGTTCAACTCCACAGCCCTCACCACTCCTCCTTGATCCAGTCTATGAGCCCTCCCGGGGGCCAGACCTTCTCTTTCACCCTGAACTCTACACTCAGCTACTTCAAAAGCTGTTCTCTTTGGCAAGCCCCCTCCCAAAATCCCTGACACTAAGCCTTACCCCTAAAGGACAATCACCTTTGTAATCTGCCTCCTCGATTCCTGCTCCCAGGCAATGAAGACTATGCAGAAAGGTGACTTCACCATCCTCTGATGCCTTCTCAGGTGCATCAGGAGACGGATGGGAAGTGGAACAGCTAAGGATTCAAATCGGTGTCCATATGGGATGCTGGTGTCACAGGTGGCAGCTTAACCTGTTATGCCACAACACTGGCCCCAACACCCAATTTACTTCTGTGGAATTTCTTATTCCCTACGATCTAGCTTCTGCTTCATCATCTCCTGACACCGTCCGATCTCGGTAACATTCAAGGGCCTCTTTCTTGGCCCTTCCCAGGACAGGGTCCTCTGAATTCTGTGTGAGTCTATATAATACAGCCTTCCCCACTGGCTCTCAGGCTCCCTTGTCTGCCAGGTCCAGTCCCATGTGTAAAAAGCATGGTCTCTGGCCTGAAGACAGCTTCCCTTCCTTCTAAGATTTGGTGGTGTATCTGGCATTTGATGGCACTCAAAAGCTGACAGCCGTACGTCACTCAAAGATAACCTCTTGCTGTGACTTAGAATCCCACTCCAGAGCCCTTAGGGACCATCCAGTCTGAGCCAGTGGATTTTACAGACAAGGACCCCTCTAGAGGAAAAGTTTCCAGGGGCTGGCAAGGACCAGTGCTGAATCAGAGACGCTGGGGCTCGTGCCATGACATCACTCTGTGTGTGCTGAGCTGGCTCCAAAGTACAGGTCAGAAAGTTACGAAACCAACTTCTTTGATTCATCCTGCCTTACCAGTGACATCCTCAAGGTTCAAAAAGGGGCTTTAATTAGGGCAGTGTTAGGATGAGGTGAGGAAACCCTCCTTCTCTCTCCCTCCCCACATCCTGTTCACGAAAACATCAAGAGCACTACAGATTCTGATGACCTAGACAGGGTAGCAAGAGCTGAGAAAACTGGCGACAGGTCAGTGTCTACCCTGCAAACCTTGTGTGACACAGACAATGCCCAATGCCCGATGCCCGATTTGCTTTATGTCATGGCTACAGGAGGGAGTTTATGCAGCACAGCACGCTGCTTCACACGCTTGTGGAGAACGGGGTGCTCAGCACCGCAACAGGAGGCATCCACCCACTATCCTCCGTGTTCTAGAGAATGCCCATGCGCACATTCTCCAACCAGAAAAGCACTGGCTTACAGAAGGCCCCTGTGAGGTTTCATACAGCCCTAAAGTCTAAGGCTTCAGGTTCTGAGTTACCTGGGGAGTAGCCTGGAGGTAGATGAAGCCATGTAACGTGAGCTGGCTGGCAAACTGCCGCAGGAGAAATGAATGCCAGTCCTGATAGATATGCCATTCGATGTCACTGATGGAACCATTTTCAAAGAGATTCTTTGCAAAGATATACCTGGTTGGAAATTAAACGGGATGGGTGGGAGGGAAAGGAGAGGGGAGAGGATGGGAAATGGAATGAAAGGCACAAAAGAAAGAAGCAGAAAAATCAATAACCAACTTGTTCCATGTCTGTTCAAACCACTTAACCTTTCTAGCTTCTCATCACTCCTTAAGGAATCTGAATGCTTAACCCGTATCTCCCTCCTTGCTCCACATGAAAATGGGAAAGAGCAAGTAGACTGTAGAGGCTGAAACCACAGCTTTCCACAGGTACTAATTCACAAGAAAGGGGACACCAGAAGAGAACTATCACTGGTCCCCAACATAAAGCGAACGGTGCATGTAAATGCAAACTTCTGAGATTTAATTATAGCAAAGTTCCAAATAAAACAAGTGATCCAGTATAAAGCTATCAGCACATTTCATCTAAGGACTGAGAGCTTGGGGATCTGCAGGCTGTTGAGCCATCCTCTGCCTAGTTGAGGAAGGGAGAAGGCACTGCCTATGGCTCAGGAAATGCACTTCCTTCCTACCAACTTTAGCCTTACCAAGAGGGCAGACTCATCTCCAAAGTATACGAGCTCTTATTTGCTTGCTTCTTCTGCTGAGTTTCTAGTTCAGATAAAGAAAGCTAAAGCCAAAAATCAAACCAGCTTTGCCCCTTGCTTACTTCCATAACAAAAGGAGCATCTGGTAAATAGGAAAGCAGAGCTAAATAGAAACCTTGGCATTGGAAGGGTCAATTCTGCGTTAAAACCTCAGGCATCTTGATACAAAATGCAATTTACACCCTGAACAATGAACTTCAGTTTCTAAGGCAACGCTCAGCAACCGGCCACTTCTGGGAAAATGGAATTCAAAATGCTCACGCACTAACGGCTCAGGGAGGCGCATGCTGCAAGGCTGTGTGTGTCATCATTAGGAGAACAGCTTCCAGAGCAACACTCACGGTCATTCTGTTGCTATGTCACTTTGGGCAAGTTGTCCATACTCTAAGCCCAGTGCTGTGATGTCTGTATATAATGTTCATCAAAATGCTAAGAGTAACTGGCACATGTACTCAAGATATTTTAGCTATTACTAAACTGTTCCTTGCTAGGCTATAAAGAAGCTAATATGGAAACTCCACAAGTGAAATTTACTATTTAGAATGGTTTTGCTATAGCCTACTTGAAGCTAACAAAAAAAAGGTGACTTTTTGTAACTCAAGTTCCGAAAAATATTGCCAGCTTCTTCATAGAAAACTCGAAGACAAAGTGAAGATCCTATAAAGAAAACCAACCAAGTGCTGTAACAGGGCCCTTGTCTCTACTGAGGAGCACTTAATCTCCTCAAAGCTGGTGCAACGGGTGATGGCGGGGAAGAAGGGTGCACTGCAGGGTGCAGAGCGGAAGGGAGCTGCTACAGACTGAAGGCAGGGGTGTCAGAGAACAGGGCTTAGGCATCTAGGAGTCAGGTCCTCTGCTCTAAAATCACAGGCCAGGGTTTCCTTGAACTCAAACAGCAAAGACAGGTTTTTTTTCCCTCCTGTAATCCTCTCTCCTAAATAACCCATTTCTCCTTTAGAACATACAGCACACATGAGCATGTGTTCAGTTTTTAGTGGAGTAGGATCCACATGAAGGCAGGCACTGGGTCTGCCTTACTCACTGCTGCAGCTCTAGAGTCTGGTGTGGTGCCTTAACACAGGAAGCATTCAATAAATCTGTGCTAAGCAAACAAACAAATGAACGAATCTTTAAAAGAATGGAAAAATTCTATTAGAATTCGTAATTAATTACATTTTCTATCTCAAAAATGCCCCTTCTAGGGGCTGGCATTGTGGTACAGTGGGTTAAGGCACTGCTTGTTGATGCTGGCATCCCATATGGAGTATGACTTTTCTGCTTGGATCCATCTTCATTCTAATACGCCTGAGAGGTAGCAGGTAATAATTTAAGTGCTGGGCCGCTACCTCCCAAGTGGGAAACAAGGATGGATTTCCTAGCTCCCGGTTTTGGCCTGGCAAAGACTTGGCTGCTGTAGCCATTTGGGGAGTAACCAGTGATTGGAGATCTGTCTCTTCATTTTTTTTTTGTCACTCTGCCTTTTAAACAAATAAATAAATCTTTTAAAACACTGCCCCTCTAGGGGCCAGCACTATGCATAGTGGGCTAAAGCCTTTGCCTGTGGTGCTGGCATCTCATATGGGCACCAGTTCAAGTCCTGGCTGCTCTTCTTCCAATCCAGCTCTCTGCTATGGCCTGGGAAAACAGAAAATAGTCCAAGTGCCTGGGCCCCTGCACCCACTTGGGAGACCTGGAAGAAACTCCTGGCTTCAGATAGGCCCAGTTCCAGCATTTGCAGCCATTTAGGCAGGGAACCAGCGGATGGACAACCTTTCTCTCTGTCTCTCCCTCTGTAAATCTGCCTCTCAAATTAAAAAAAATAAATAAAACCCACACTGCCCCCTCTAAAGAAAGCACTTAGATATTGAAGCTGTCCATACAATAATTAATTCTTACCTCTTACAATTAAATGTTAAGATCACATAGCTTTTTAGCAAAGCATTTCTAATTAGCAAAGCATTTCTAATTAGCAAAGCATTTCTACTTCTGTTTTCCTCTGAGGTTGTCTCTTACATGCCCATATTAGTAAAGGACTAGAAATCAAAAGACCAATTGTGAATATGTTTCCAAGCAACCCAGGTGGTTACATGTAATTCAGCTTCCTAGTTTGAGAGGCATGGTTTGGGAGAGAGGAAAGGAGAGAATAGGCAGTAGTATTCCTAACAGCTGAAAAGAACTAAAACCTACAGCCAACCATTTATGATATACATATTTAGCTTTCATAAACAGTAGGCTCTCAGTTGGGGTACAGAGAAGAAATGTGTGACCTGTAGGGTCTGTTTTATGTATCTTAACCACATGTCATTTACAACTGTGCCTTTATTTCTTTCTTTCAGGAGATTTTACGGGAGTATTAAGAAGCAGAACTAGCTTATCTAATTTGGAATTAAATGGGGAACCAACTGAGTGTCTTCAGCAGTGAATGGAAAATGAAAATGTAGCATTTTCCATTTTAATAACTCTAAGGGGCTTAAGACAGATCATTTTGCTTAAAAGTACCATTTCACTGACAGAAGGCATCCACAGCCTTCACATCAAGCTACTCTGTTCATAAGTGACTTAACCTCAATTCACAGCACAGCCTGTGCTCAATGGCAGAGCAAGGAATTCTGGAGTCTGGTTGGGGCACCTCTTCTGGAACAGATAGGCTTACTCCCAGGCCAGCTGCTAGCTTTCATGCAAAGGACTTTACACCTTCTTCCCTCAGGGTGTCAGGATAAGTCCCTTTCCTGAATTGACACAGGCACTGGGTGTTCACTACAGACTCTGGCCAGCAATAAGTTTGTCACCTAAGAAGTGGGGGGAAAAGACTAACTCAGAGACAGAAGCCAACTTCACAGAAGTGTTTTCTGCCTAGACATCTTTTTTGAAGAATAAAAAGGGATGAATATCTTTTTTATATCATTGTGGGAATATAAATTTTAACTGTCTGCTTTTTTCTATTTCTTTTTCTTTTGTTTTTCTTAAAGACGATAATCAACCACTTATTTGTCTTCCTAGAACATACACTGCTACATGTCTCTTCTATGCCCTTAGCATGCATGTTTATACTAGGTCACACACACCTTTCTTGATATGCTTGAAACTCAGAAGAATTACAACTCTGGACAAACCAGTTTAGCATTATCTTTAAAAAAGAGACAAGTTTCCAACGTAGACTTTCAACGGTTAGCACAGTGTGAAACATGTGTGAAAACAGAAACTAGGAAGAACTGAGCAGGGGTCTCATGAGTGGTAGAGGGCTTGATGTCTTACCTGTCACTGTACACAGACCTCTCAAAGATCTGCACCGGCTTCCCAGACTGTAAGAGGTTCTCTGGGAAGGGCTCCAGCTGTACCTTCAGGCGGCTCATAAAGGAGTATGTCTGGAATGTGTAGGACCATCGTGCTGGCTCCCGGTACATCATGTCCAGCAAGTTCCCAAGACTTTGGGTACTGCAGGCCTAGAGGGGATTATAAGAGAATATCCTAGAAGGTATATTTACTCCATGGTATACACCACCAGCATTGCCCCAGGCCTATTTTATAAGCAATGAGACAGGGGCCAGTGCTGTGGCATAGCAGGCTGAGGCGCCAGCATCTCATATGGGTGCTGGTTCAAGTCTCAGCTGCTCCACTTCCAATGCAGCTCCCTGCTAATAGCCTAGGAAAGCAGCGTTAAGATGGCCCAAGTCCTTGGGCGCCTGCACCCATGTGGAAGACCTGGAAGAAGTTCCTGGCTTCGGACAGGCCCAGAACTGGCTATTGTGGCCATCTAGAGGAGTGAACCAGCAGAAGGAAGACCTCTCTGTCCCTCCCTCTGTCTGTAACTCTGCCTCTCAAATAAACGAATAAATCTTAAAAAAAAAAAAAAAAAGCCACAAGAGCAGGAATTACAGAAATTGCCTTCCATTAAAAAGATATAGTCAGATGCCCCCATCCCCACCCTGCGAGATTTTCCCACCATATTAGACAAGAATCTGAGACAGGGAGATGATATTGCACTGTCAACATAACAGAGAGGAACAGAAGAACCATACAGAGAATTTACATATGACTGATGGATTTGTGGGGTCTGGAGAAGGATTAACAACCATCTAAAATCCACCTTAAATCAGATCTCTCCACAGAGCATTATACTATACTGTCTCTCTTGAGATGCCACTTGTGTCTATTCCCGTTTTTCTTCCCTTGTTTCCCCCCTCCCTTCTTTCTTTTGATTTTTTTTTTTAAATTTATTTGAAAGGGAGAGTGAGAGAAAGAGGAAGAGACTGAGAGAGATATCTTCCATCTGCTGACTCACTCCACAAATGCCCACAACAGCGGGGGCTGGGCATGGAGTCAAGGCATGGAGTCTGGTACTCCATCCCAGTCTGCCATGTAGGTGACAGGGACCAAGTACTTAGGACATCAACTGCTGCCTCCTAGGTGCATTAGCAGGACTCTGGACTGGAATCAGAGGAGCTGGGACTGCACTGGCACTGGATATGGGGTATGGGATGCAATCATCCTAAGGGAGAGCTTACACTGCTGTTTGTTAACCTGCTGAATCACAATGCCTTCCTCTGCAGCTACTGCTTATAAAACCTCAAGGTACAGGCTGGCACCATGGCTCACTAGGCTAATCCTCCGCCTTGCAGCGCCTGCACTCCGGGTTCTAGTCCCGGTTGGGGCACCGGATTCTTCCCGGTTGCCCCTCTTCCAGGCCAGCTCTCTGCTGTGGCCAGGGAGTGCAGTGGAGGATAGCCCAAGTGCTTGGGCCCTGTACCCCATGGGAGACCAGGAAAAGCACCTGGCTCCTGCCATCGGATCAGCGCGGTGCGCCGGCTGCAGCACGCTGGCCGCAGCGGCCATTGGATGGTGAACCAACGGCAAAGGAAGACCTTTCTCTCTGTCTCTCTCTCACTGTCCACTCTGCCTGTCAAAAAACAAAACAAAACAAAACAAAACCCAAAAACCTCAAGGTACAGAGAAAGCAATTATTTGCAAATTCAACCAACCAAGCAATCAAACTGCATTCTATGTCTTTCATATCAGGGCTAATTTGCTCGCTAAACAAACAAAAATAAAACTCCCTTCCATTCCAGCAACATTGTAAAATGCAATCTGAAGTTTCTCTTACTCAGCATGCATAGGTGGTCATAAGTAGGGATAGCTAGGAGCCCTGGATTTTTTTTTCTAGGCTCTGCCACAGATTCCACACAGAAGTGAGTTCTCTGCAAAGCACCCTGGGCCTGCATTTATTCAATCACTCTTAATGGAAGACCTGTGTGGATGAGGCACAACATGGCTCAGAGGCTATAAGAGCTACCAAAGAAGAAAGTAACATTTACTTCAATGTCCATTGTGTAATGTTCTCATCTAACCTTCAAAACAGCTTCATGAAGTAGGTACTGGTGTTAAGCTCCAGAGGGGAAAATCCACTAAGAGGTCTAGTAACTTCCTTGTCTAAGGTCTCAGAGGGAGTAAGCGTTGAATGGGGACTCAACCCTGGCTTCCTCTCAGTTCTTCAATCGAATGCCTCTTCATATAAAGGCAAATGAGGCATGTTTACTGAAAGAAAAGAGCCCAAATGCAAGAGGGAAGATGGTGACAAGGACATAAAGAGTATATAAAAGAGAATGTGAGGTGAAGGGGAAATCCTTTATGGTGGAAGGAATCTCAAGAAGTTTCTAGAAAAAAGTGGCATTAAGCTGGGAAGTAGCTGTTGAGAGTTTTCCTTTCTTCCTATCCTCCAAAGCACACGTACACACAGCAGCTTCACAAATGGTCCCTCATGAAGAGCTGCAGGTAGAAGCAAAGGACAAATCTGAATCTCAAGTCTTTGAGGGCATCACGTGAGTGTGGGGAGCAGCCCCTGGCCTGGCATGCAGTTCAGAGACTGAGTGATGGAGGCGTGTGCTAGTGTGATGGAGGTGTGGACTGGTGGAGGTTACTGCATCAGCAGGCTCTGGGCTGCCAGAGGAGGACTGCTCTGAAACAACAAGTATACAGTTTCTGAAAGAACTCATCTTAGCCACAGAACAAATACACACATATCTCTAAATATATATGCACAAACGACAGTAACGAGATGATATTCAGCAATTTGAAGGGGAGAGGACCAATCTGTGTGTCCAGAAAGAGTTGTCAAAACAAGAGAAAAAAGAAACATCTCAATGAAATTCAAGATACTGCCTCACTGCTAAAACATGGCTAGGCTGTTATAAAGAAGGAACAATATGGAAAGATCATTCATGGAGGTGAAAAATGCAGTTGTCAATGTAGAACACCAATGAAGCAGTAACTAGCACTCTATAAACTGTATTAAATCTAATTAGTGAGTGAGAATACCACCTTAAGAAACTTTCCCTAAACTAGGAGATAAAAGCAGAAAATTATAGAAGGAATGAAAAGACATGCAGATTAGAAGGAAGAGATCTAGGCTGGTGCTGTGGTGTAGTGGGTAATTCGCCACCTGTGGTGCCAGCATCCCATCTGGGCGTCGGTTCAAATCCTGGCTGCTCCACTTCTAATCCAGCTCTCTGCTATGGCAAAGCAGTGGAAGATGGCCCAAGTCCTTGGGCCTCTGCACCTGCGTGGAAGACCTGGAAGAAGCTCCTGGCTCCTGGCTTTGGATTGGTGCAGCTCCAACCATTGCGGCCAATTGGGAAGTGAACCAGCGGATGGAAGACCTCTCTCTGCCTCTCCTTCTCTCTCTGACTTTCAAATAAATAAATCTTAAAAAAAACAAAAAAATAAAACCAAGCCGGTGCCGATGCTCACTTAGCTAATCCTCCGCCTGCGGCACCAGCACCCAGGGTTCTAGTTCCAGTTGGGGCACCAGATTCTGTCCTGGTTGCGTCCTCTTCCAGTCCAGCTCTGCTGTGGCCCGGGAAGGCAGCGGAGGATGGCCCAAGTGCTTGGGCCCTGCACCCACATGGGAGACCAGGAGGAAGCATCTGGCTCCTGGCTTAGGATCGGCGCAATGAGCCAGCCGCAGTGCACTGGCCGTAGCGGCCATTTTGGGGGTGAACCAACAAAAAAGGAAGACCTTTCTCTCTGTCTAACTCTGCCTGTCAACAAACAAACAAACAAACAAACAAAAAAACCAGAGATCCAACATACATTGTAATGCAGTGGTATGGCATATTTTGCTTTTTCGTTTTTTGTTCTGGAGAAAAATAAGATACAGTATCACTGTTGCTCCACCTAAAGCAAATCAAAAAATTTTGGTATCCAAACAGTGGCCAAGATGATCTCTTGCAACGTCAATGTAGGGTCAGCACTCTCTATTTGTGGGTTCTGTACTGTCAGATTAAATCACGGCTCCTGGTCATTGTTTCCTAAACAGTAAGCATCACAACTATTCAAATAGCTTTCACAATAGCTTGCATTATGTATTACAAGTAAGCTAGAGATGAATTAAAGAACAACAGAGGATGCCCTGGCATCAACGCCCTACAAATACTGAGGGAACCTGTGTACCGCTCGCTCCTCCAGCAAAGCTACCCAACAAGCAAACTACTTCTTCTCAAGAGACAAGAGTCCGATCCAAGAGGTAAAACACCATGTCAAACAAAAAGAGACCAGCAGTGGATGACCCTGCCTATAAGGCATGTGTCTCTCTCACCACTGAGAATCACTATCTAACAGAAATGTGTGGTATGTGCATTATCTCCGGCAAGAAGCAGTTTAAAAAGATGACAGGGAGCAAAGAGTCCAGTCACAATAGCAACAACAGGTAATCTACTCAGGAATAAACTGAAAAACTCCACCAGAACAAGTAGTAACTATCTATGGAAAAACAAAATTGTAGAGTTCTCTAACTTTGAGTCACATAGAGCATAAAACCATAAAAGCAACAGAAAGAAATATAGGATTTTTTATAATCTTAGGCAGTGGAAGGCTTTTTTCAACTTGAACATCGAAGGCAGTAACTATGAAGGCAATGAGCAGAACTGATTACATAAAAACAGAAATATATTAGATTAAAAATATATCATATATAAAGAAAAGTGACTGGGGAAAATATCAGCACTATCTAGAAACTCCATCTGGGTCTCCCACATGGGTGCAGGGGCTCAAGCATTTGGGTTATCATCCACTGCTTTCTCAGATGCATTAATAGGGAGCTTAATCAGAATCAAAGGAGCCAGGATCTGAATAGGTACTCCAATATGGGATGCCAGTATTGCAAGCGTGGGCTTAACCCATCCTGGCACAGTGGGTTAAGACGTTGCTTATAATGCTGGCATACTATATCAGAGTGCCTATTAGAATCTTGGCTCCTCTGCTTCTGACACAGCTTCCTGCCAATGAGCCTGGGAAAGCAGATGATGGCTCAAGCACTTGGGCCTCTGCCACACACCATGTGAGAGACTCTGTGCTGGCTTCTGGCTTCAGCCTGTTGCAGCCATTTTAAGTGAACCAGCAGATGGAAGAACCCTCTCTATGCTTCTGCTTTACTCACTATCACTCTTTCAAGTAATAAGTAAATCCTTTTTTTTTTTTAAAGTGTCAACAATACACATAATTTGTGGAAATCAAAATTCTAGTTCTAGGTTGTTCTAAAAAACACACACAGGTATGGAGGCTGGTGATATGGTACAGTGGGTTAAATCGCTACCCCTATGAGAGCTGGTTAGAGACTCTGCTCTGGCTCCTTCTCCTCTTTTTTTTTTTTTTTAAGATTTTCTTTAGGCATTGTGGTATAGCTGGTTAAGCTGTAGCCTATAGCACCGAAATCCCACGTGCTCACTGGTTCGAGTCCTGGCTGCTCCACTTCCGATCCAGCTAACTGCTAATGTGCCTGGGAAAGCAGAAGATGGCCCAAGTGCCTGGGCCTCTGCACCTACGTGGGAGACCCAGAAGAAGCTCCTGGCTACTGGATTTGGCCCAGCTCAGCCATTGTAGCCATTTGGGGGGTGAATAAGTATGGCATGCTCCCCCTCTCTCCATCTCTTCCTTTCTCTCTGGAACTCTGCCTTTCAAATAAATAAATGACTAAAAACAAAAACAAAAACAAAAACAGGTGGTGGCTGCACTGAGGCTAGAGGATCCTCCTCCAAGAAGATTCACTCGCCTAGCCTCAGTTTCTTGTTATGTGGCCTCTTTCTTTTTCTTTTTCATTAATTTCACTTTATTTGGAAGGCAGAGACATAACAGATCTTTCATCTGATGGTTCACTCCCCAAATGCTGAGCATTCCCCTAATGCCTGTAACAGCTAGGCTAAACCCAGGAGTGTAGAAATCTATCCGGATCTCCCAAGAGAACGGAAGGGACCCACATACTTGAGCAATCATCTGCTGACTTGCAGGGTGTGTACAGCAGGAAGTTGGATCCGAAATGGAGGAACCAGGACTCAAGCCAGGCACCCTGACTTAACTGATGTACCACACAACCACCCTTGTAGGCCTCTTCGCCGGGCTGCTTCACAACATGACAGCTGGCCTGCCACCAGCAAGACTGACACTCCAATGTTTTAAGTCCTGCCCTGGAAGGGCACACTGCCATTTCTGCTACATTCTATTCATTAGAAACAAGGCACTAAGTTCAGTTCTTACTCAAGGGAAGGGCACTCAAGCTTCTCTTCTTGAAGGAAAGAAGAGCAAACAATTTGGAGACATATACTGAAATTCCAACAGGTAACCTTTGGCACACTCCGAATAAGATTTATAATTTCTTTTTTTTTTTTTCAAGATTTATTCAAGAGTCAGAGTTACAGATAGAGAGGCAGAGAGAGAGAGGTCTTCCATCCGATAGTTCACTCCCCAATTGGTTGCAACAGCTGGAGCTGCACCAACTCAAAGCCAGGAGCCAGGAGCTTCTTCTGGGTCTCCCACGCGGGTGCAGGGGCCCAAGCACTTGGGCTGTCTTCCACTGCTTTCCCAGGCTATAGCAGAGAGCTGGATTGGAAGTGGAGTAGTCGGGTCTCGAACAGGCACCATATGGGATGCCGGCGCTTCAGGCTAGGGCATCAATCTGCTGTGCCACAGCGCCAGCCCCTATAATTTATTTCTAAATGGAAAAGTTAACTTTATAAATATACACATACATACATACAAGGAATAACTCTAAAATCAAAAATCCTCAATAGGGGCCGGCGCTGTGGCTCAGTGGGTAAAGCCGCCGCCTGCAGTGCTGGCATCCCATATAGGCACCAGTTTGAGTCCCGGCTGCTCCATTTCCCAGCCAGCTCTCTGCTATGGCTTGGGAAAGCAGTAGAAGATGGCCCAAGTGTTTGGGCCCCTGAACCCACGTGGGAGACCCGGAAGAAGCTCCTGGCTCCTGGCCTCAGATTGGTGCAGATCTGGCAGTTGTGGCAACTGGAGAGTGAATCATCGGAAAGAAGTCCCCCTTCCCTGCTTCTCCTCTCTCTGTGTAACTCTGACTTTGAAATAAAAGAATAAATATTAAAAAAAATCCTCAATAAACATGATGTGAGTGCCACAAAAGGTAATAAAATTCTGGCTTGGAATACAGAAAAATAGCACCCAAAACAAGTTCTACAATACTCAGTACCATTTAGGCCGGCGCAGTGGCTCACTAGGCTAATCCTCCACCTTGTGGCGCCGGCACACTGGCGTTCTAGTCCAGGTCGGGGCACCAGATTCTGTCCCGGTTGCCCGTCTTCCAGGCCAGCTCTCTGCTGTGGCCAGGGAGTGCAGTGGAGGATGGCCCAAGTGCTTGTGCCCTGCACCCCATGGGAGACCAGGATAACCATGGGAGACCAGGATAAGCACCTGGCTCCTGCCATCGGGTCAGCGTGGTGCGCCAGCCGTGGCGGCCATTGGAGGGTGAACCAATGGCAAAAGGAAGACCTTTCTCTCTGTCTCTCTCTCTCACTGTCCACTCTGCCTGTCAAAAAAAGAAAAAAAATATTCAGTACCATTTAGATTCTATCTAGAATGTTCCATTCAGCTCTGAGTACCACTCCTAGTATATTCTAATTGGAAAATGGACAGACTGGAGATCATTACTTAAACCAAGTTACTTTAGAATGACGAATAGTCTGAGGAAAATGAAGTATTCAGCTCCAAGGAGAAAAGACCTGAGGGGGAAAGCAAGCAAATAAAGCCTCCAACTAGATACAGGGTTGCCACATGGAAAAGCTGTAAGACAGGAAGGAGTAGAACTTGAACCAATGAGTCAGAGTCACAGGGGCGCAACATGGCACAATGCAAGGGGGAACAGTCTAACAATAAGTTGTTACAAACCAGAATGAGCCACTCAGTAAACGTTCCAGGTGGCTGTAGAAGGAGCTTGTGGAGCCTGAGGAGTCATGGTATAGCCGCCCCCACAGCTCCCGAAAAGGTTCATGTTCAAATGGATCTTTGCCTCCTCACACTGATGTGGCTGGTGTTGAAATCTACCCTATGGCCTCTGGCAAAGCAAAAGCCTTGGCCGGCGCCGCGGCTCACTAGGCTAATCCTCCGCCTAGCGGCGCCGGCACACTGGGTTCTAGTCCCGGTTGGGGCGCCAGATTCTGTCCCGGTTGCCCCTCTTCCAGGCCAGCTCTCTGCTGTGGCCAGGGAGTGCAGTGGAGGATGACCCAGGTGCTTGGGCCCTGCACCCCATGGGAGACCAGGAAAAGCACCTGGCTCCTGGCTCCTGCCATCGGATCAGCACGGTGCGCCGGCCGCAGCGCGCCGGCCGCGGCGGCCATTGGAGGGTGAACCAACGGCAAAGGAAGACCTTTCTCTCTGTCTCTCTCTCTCACTGTCCACTCTGCCTGTCAAAAAAAGAAAAAAAATATTCAGTACCATTTAGATTCTATCTAGAATGTTCCATTCAGCTCTGAGTACCACTCCTAGTATATTCTAATTGGAAAATGGACAGACTGGAGATGATTACTTAAACCAAGTTACTTTAGAATGATGAATAGTCTGAGGAAAATGAAGTATTCAGCTCCAAGGAGAAAAGACCTGAGGGGGAAAGCAAGCAAATAAAGCCTCCAACTAGATACAGGGTTGCCACATGGAAAAGCTGTAAGACAGGAAGGAGTAGAACTTTAACCAATGAGTCAGAGTCACAGGGGCGCAACATGGCACAATGCAAGGGGGAACAGTCTAACAATAAGTTGTTACAAACCAGAATGAGCCACTCAGTAAACGTTCCAGGTGGCTGTAGAAGGAGCTTGTGGAGCCTGAGGAGTCATGGTATAGCCGCCCCCACAGCTCCCGAAAAGGTTCATGTTCAAATGGATCTTTGCCTCCTCACACTGATGTGGCTGGTGTTGAAATCTACCCTATGGCCTCTGGCAAAGCAAAAGCCTTAACACCAGGACCCAGGCCATCAAGTAAAAGTGAAATGCCCAGGGCTTGGCACAGCATCAAACCCAGCACATGGTACATGCTTTATAAATGCTTTCACCTCTGCATGGACTCTAAGTGTTGACAGCATGCTTTTTCAGGTAACTTCCAATCTTCAAGACTTACAGAAAAGTTAAAATCACTACAATTAACTACTAATTTTGATGGGTAGCTTTACTAGTAATACTTAAGGGCAGGAATGACAAAATTCATCTTCAAAGCCAGGATGGATGGACATGCTTTGGGAAACCACAAAGAACAGAGGCGGGCACTTACACAGACACATGAAAGCCACAAAAATCAAAACTAAACATACTCAAACAAGTCATATCCTCTCTGGTGTATGTGGTCCGCTTTCTGGAATGGAGCTATTTTAAAAAGGAGATTCAAACTGGGCTCCTTCACCCACTCAGAGCAAATTAAATTATTACAATTAGATTATTCACCCATGCCTGCCAACTACCCACCACAGCTGAAAACTTACTTTTTGGGTGCCAGCAGCCTGGACATCCTGCCATGTTGCTACAGGTTCTGTAGCTATGTGCCACTTGGGGTAAGTTTTCATGAGTAACTTCACAAAGGTGGACTTTCCCACAGCTGCAATGCAAACAGCATGTATTGGGATGCTGCCCAAAACAGGCTGAAGGAGGACGCCGCCATGCAACCCTGCTGCACATGCTCAACTCAAGGGAACAAATCCTAGTTTTTTTATTTCAAAATTCAGCAGCCATGCTGTTGTCAGATTGATGATGGGTCGGGTCATGCTAACCAGAGTCACCATAATGAATACAGGCAACACAGAGAAAGATCCCCTTGAGATTTGATTTGTGATTTTAATGTCCCAACCTCCCAGAGGCAAGAAACAGTTAATAATGGTTGGAAATGTAATAGAACCATCAACAGTAGATGAAATCAGCTACATAAATTGTAAAGCACTAGTTACAGTCCTATTTGTTCTATGACAGTGCCAAAATTACAGTTTTTCAAGATAGAAAGTGATTATGACCCTCTTTCATTCAACAAATCTAACAAATTCAACAAATCCTCATGGAGTGCTAACCTGGTGCTCCAGACTGTCAGGCACGGGGGTTCAATGGTAATTAAAACAGAGACTAGATTTGATCCCCACAGAGCCTTCATGGGAGACAGTAAACAAGAACACAATACTACTAACAAATTGTGTGAAGTGTTAGGAAAGAAAAATGCAAGTTGACTCTAGTATAGTGAGAAGGTCAGGGAAGGAGCCTTTGAAATGATGACACTGGAGGTAAGATCTGAAAGATGAGAGGTCAGCCAGGCCAGCCTTGGGGGAAGGATAATCCATGCAGAGGGGGTAGAAGGAACCTGCAAGAGAGAAAGAACTTGACGACAAGGAGAAGTCTTAAGGCCTTGGAAGTATGGCTCCAACAGGGTAAGAAGAGTGGCTCGATTTGGGTATGGCAAAGCAGAGAGGCAATCCAAACACAGGTCACATGCTTACACTGCAGTCATGGCACGAAGCTTCCATTCTATTCTCGGGGTAATGGAAAGTCAATGACAACAGTTTTTATTTTTTTTAATCCTTATTTATTTACTTTTATCTACTTGAAAGGCAGAGTGATGGAGAGTCTTCCACCCTCTGGTCCAATTCCTAAAACCCATAACAGCCAAGGTTAGGCTAGGCCAAAACTAGGAGGCTGAAACTCCATTCAAGTCTCCCACATGGATGGCAGGGGCCCTCAAGCATCTGAGCTATCATCTGCTGCCTCCCAGGATGCATTTATAGGAAACTGAATCAGAAGTAAATGTGCTGGGGCTGGCGCTGTGGCATAGCGGGTAAAGCCGCCACCTGTAGTGCCAGTATCCCATATGGGCGCCGGTTCGTATCCCGGCTGCTCCACTTCCAATCCAGCTCTCTGCTATGGCCTCTCTCTCTCTCTCTGCCTCTCTGTAACTCTGCCTTTCATATAAATAAATAAATCTTAAAAAAAAAAAAAAAAGTAAAGGTGGTGGTACTTGAACCAAGCACTTGAATATGGGCTCTGGGCATTCCAAGCAGTGGCTCAACCCATTGAGCCACAATGCCCAGCTGGACAGCAGTTTTTTGTTGTTGTTGTTGTTTTAATATTTATTTGAAAGTCAGAGTTACACAGAGAGAGGAGAGGCAGAGAGAGAGTGGGAGAGAGAGGTCTTCCATCCAATGGTTCACTCCCCAATTGGCCGCAACAGCAGGAGCTGTGCCGATCCGAAGCCAGGAGCCAGGAGCTTCTTCCAGGTCTCCCACGTGGGTTCAGGGGCCCAAACACTTGGGCCATCTTCTACTGCTTTCCCAGGCCATAGCAGAGAGCTGGCTGGGAAATGGAGCAGCCGGGACTCAAACTGGTGCCTATATGGGATGCCGGCACTGCAGGCGGCGGCTTTACCCACTGCGCCACAGTGCCGCCCCATGGACAGCAGGTTTTAAGCAGAGAAATTACAAGACCTTTGAACATTCTTTACTGGTTACCATGCAAAATGGGAGAGAGGAGGGGATATGACAGCTCCTGCTGCAGGGACAGTGTCCACAGACTTGGACATCACCCTCGGCGAAAAGATCATTCTGCTGGTTGAGTCAGCTTAGGCTGAAGGGGAAGAAGGCACATCAGTAAGAAAATGACAGCAGCTTGATCAGGGTGACAGCAGAGAAGGAAAACAGTGGCTGCTTTCAGATACCTTTTGCAGATGAAATCAACCTTGTATACCACAAATTCAAGTTATCATTGCCCACCTATAGCAATGTCTGGCCTATCTAATCTGAACTCCAGACATCTCTACTTCAATGTCCCACAAACACCTCCAAACCTATATATTCTCTATATTAACTCATTTTCTTTCCCACTAAGCTGAGCTTGTTTGTATATCCCAGACCTCCAGATTTGGTAGCATCATCCACTCACTGTAAGAACTTCCTCCTCTGCCAATCAACACTCCTGCAGCCACAGTGCTTTTGCATCTGTTTCTCAATTTTTCCCACTGGTTTTTCTCTCCATTCCCATTTGCATGCTCAGACCAGGTTGTCATCATCTCTTGCCTCTCCAAGAGTGTCCTCTTCAATCCATCCTCCATGCTACGGCCATACTAAACATGAAGTAACACTGCTCACAATCTTTCTTGGGGCCGGTGCTGTGGCGTAGCAGGTAAAGCTGCTGCCTGCAGTGCCAGCATCCCATATGGGTGCTGGTTTGAGTCCCTGCTGCTCTACCTCCAATCCAGCTCTCTGCTGTGGCCTGGGAAAGCAGCAGAAGATGGCCCAAGCCCTTGGGCCCCTGCACCCGTGTGAAAGGCTCAGAAGAAACTCCTGGCTTCCTATTGGCATGGTTCTGGGTGTTGCAGCCAACTGGGGAGTGAACCAGCAGATGGAGGACCTCTTTCTCTCTCTCTCTTTGCCTCTCCTTCTCTCTCTGTGTAACTCCAATTTTCAAATAAATAAATGATGCACAGTTATTCTTAAGTGTTGAAAATTAACTGAAATGTGATCCCTGTTGAACGTGGGAGTGGGAGAGGGAAGAGATGTATAATTTGGGACATGCTCAGGCTGACTTGCCCCAAGTGGTGGAGTTGGAAGCATACCAGGGGATTCCAATTCAATCCCATCGAGGTGGCATGTACCAATGCCATCTCACTGTTCCAGGTGATCAATTTCAGTTCACAGTTGGTCATGGTGGAGGGACTGGGAGTCAAAGGGAGCACATAGACAAGTCTAGTACCTGCTAACGCTAACCAATGGAGTAAATAAAGGGGAGAGTGATCCAACATGGGAAGTGAGATACTCAGCAGACTCATAGAATGGCAGATGTCCTAAATAGCACTCTGGCCTCAGAATCAGCCCTAAAGGCATTCGGAGCTGGCTGAAAAGCTCATGAGAGTATTTCAGGCATGGAAAGCCAAGACACTCTGGCAAAAGATCTCTGCGAGTGAGATCCCAGTGGAAAGAACAGGTCATCAAAGAAGGAGGTACCTTTCTCTGAAGGGAGGAGAGAACCTCCACTTTGACTATGACCTTGTCTAAACAAGATAAGAGTCGGAGAACTCAGAGGGCTTCCATAGCCTTGGAAACTCATGACTGGAGCATAGGGAGATTACTGATGCCATAGACAGGAGTGTCAATTGGTAAAGTCAACAACAGGAGTCACTGTGCACTTACTCCTCATGTAGGATCTCTATCCTTAATGTGCTGTACATTGAGATTTAATGCTATAACGAGTACTCAAACAATATATTTCACTTTGTGTTTCTATGGGGGTGCAAACTGTTGAAATCCTTACTTAATGCATACTAAACTGATCCTCTGTAAAAAAAAAAAAAAAAGAAATTATCAATTCCCAACTTGACTCTCACTGGGATTAAACATGACAATAGGTCTGCTCTGATTTCATCATCATTTAAAAAAAATCATCTATTATTTTTCACTTTATGTTTCTGTGTGGGAGCAAACTGTTGAAATCCATACTTAATGTATACTAAGCTGATCTTCTGTATATTAAGATAATCGAAAATGAATCTTTATGTGAATGGAGGGGGAGAGGGAGTGGGAAAGGGGAGGGTTGTGGGTGGGAAGGACGGTATGGGGGGGAAGCCATTGTAATCTATAAGTTGTACTTTGGAAATTTATATTCATTAAATAAAAGTTTAAAAAAAAAAAAAAAAACAATTCTTCAACACTTCTCCATTGCCTGTCTGACCAGATCCCAGTCCCCTGCATGGTCTGTAAGATACTCCTGGCAACTCCAATCATGCCTCTTCCTCTCTTGAAAATGTGACTGCATATGCTTTCCCATTTCCTAGGGTACCTCCTTTCCTCATCTGGCCAAGTCCTACTCAATCTTCAAGGTTCTGCTCAGGGAAGCCTTCCCTGAACTCAGATGCCTCTAAACTGGATTAGCTAATCCTCATCTGTGCTTGGCCTGGTACTCTGGGTGAGACTCCGTTACTGCAATTGTAATTGTGTTTCTCCAGGTAGAAGATGGGCTCTTTTAGGTAGAAAACAAAACCCAGCCTAATAACCTGGTTAAATGAATAAGGCACACAGTCTATTATTAATTTCAGATCCTTCTAAAGGCTGAACTTGTCAAAAATAAAAAAGTGAACCTCAAGAGCATATTTGGAGCTCAATCTTCTATCAAAAGTGATCCATCTTTGAGCAGGCATTTGGCACAGCGGTTAAGACGCTGCTTGGGATGCTGTCATCCCATATCAGACTGCCTGGGTTTCAGTCCCTATTCCACTTCTGATTTTAGCTTCCTGCTAATGTGCACCCTGCAAGGTAGTGAGTGAAGGCTCAAGTACCTGGGTACCTGCCAACCATGTGGGAGACCTAGAATGAGTTCCAGGTTTCTGGCTTCGTCCTAGCCCAGCTCTTAATGTGGTGGGCATTTGGGGAGAGACCTGTCTTATCTTGTCAAATTACTTTAAAAGGCTGTCTCTTTCAAATGAGTTTTCCCTTTAAAAGGAATCCAAAGGGAACCCAGAGAAAGAAGATGGGTACCCTTCCAGTCAATCCTATTAGTCCTGGGTGATTACTGATCAGGAGTGCTTGATGTCTCAGCATTAAGAGCCTACACATCCAATACATGACATTT